TCAAGTGATTTTATGTCAACCTGTTCCCCATTTTATTTAACTGGATAAATAAAGGCTAGAGCTTGTGATTGGGCAGTGGAAGAGAAAGGTAGGTGTACTGGCTGGTTTTTTGTGTCAACTTGACACAAGCTGGAGTTATCACAGAGAAAGGAGCCTCCCTTGAGGAAATGCCTCCACGAGATCCAGCTGAAAGGCATTTTCTCAATTAGTGATCAAGGGGGGAGGCCCAGCCCATTGTGGGTGGTGCCATCCCTGGGCTGGTAGTGCTGGGTTCTATAAGAAAGCAAGTTGAGCAATGCAAGGGAAATAAGTCAGTAAGCAGCACCCTCCATGGGCTCTGCATCAGCTCCTGCCTTCAAGTTCCTGCTCTGTGTGAGTTCCTGTCCTGACTTCCTTTGGTGATGAACAGCAATGTGGAAGTGTAAGCTGAATAAACCCTTTCCTCCCCAATTTGCATTTTGATTATGATGTTCTGTGCAGAAATACAAAGTCTGACTAAGACAGTGGGACTGAGGGTTTTAGAGAGTTGGGGGAAGAGTAGGCACAAGGGAGGAAGAAGACAGAGGAAGAGGAGGTGGAAGGAAGCCGGAGCAGAACCACGTGGCCTGGAGAAGCTGCAAGTAGTGAGGGATCTCCTAGCTGGGATAGAGTAGTGTAGGGTAGATCCGCCCAGTCTAGGCGAGCTGGGATAGAGTAGTGTAGGGTAGATCCGCCCAGTCTAGGTGTGCAGCTTATAAATGTTGTAACTGAGTTTGTGGTTTTGCACCGGCTTATTAGAGTTGGAGACTTACCACAATAGAGAGACCCCCAAGTGAGCCTGCAGTTCTGAGTTAAAGCACATTATGGGAATTCCAGGGCAGGTGACCTCTATCTTAATCTAGAGTCTACCTCTAGGTAAACTCCAAAATGATTACTGGGGTGTAGGAGCTGGAAACTATTGCTGAGGAAGTCTAGAAACTGCTGCTGACCCATTGTCCTTACCTCAGGCCAGGTGGCGGGGCAGCTTCTGATGGTAGGGCAGTTTCTGACTAGTTACCTGAAGTCTGAGTTTGTTTGTTTGTTTGTTTGTTTGTTTTTCTTCTTTCTAGTAACTGACTTGCCCGGGCTTGACTGGACTTGCTCAGCTCTTAGGCATACTCTCCTGAACTGTCAATTTGGAATCTCCTATCATAGACTCAGCCTAACCATCTCAATTTATTTGTAAACTAGTTGGGGATAAGCTTGAATTGGTTGTCTCACACACCTCTGTTCTGGTTGAGGGAGAAGATAAGTTGTTGTTATTACAAAAATATCACCACAATATCTACTATTTAATTTAACCCCTAGGATTTATCCAAAAAGCAAAATTAAACAGCTGATAGAATTTAACAACAGTTCAGCCCTACATTGCTGCTTTGATGTTGACCTTCCTATGGACAGTGATCATGAACATTGCTGTCAACTGAGGCTTTGAATGTAGAATAGTACTGTGAGGTTAAGAAAAGGGACTGTTTGGTTTTTAAAAATAGCAAGGTTTGTAGCTCACATAGGGTAGTCTTGTTTAACACACTAGATATTTCAAAGCCACAGGAAAAGAAAATCAAGACCTGTACCCTTCACATCTCAGGGAAATACGATATGTTTCATACCAAGTTAAGCAATAAGAGCTTCTCTGGTGACACTTGGTGCTAGCCACTCAAGGTGTCTTTCTTTCTTTCTTTCTTTCTTTCTCTCTTTCTTTCTTTCTTTCTTTCCTTCTTTCTTTCTTTCTCTTTCTGTGGCAGCATGAGCTTGGCAGAACATTGAGAACTGGAGGCTGAGAAATAAAAACTGTGGTCTTCCCACTCACAGAAGAGGGTTCTCAGGCATCTTTGCTAGCACAGTGTTGCTGAGAAGGCCTGCATATGAGTCAGGCACACATGGTAAGTGGGCTGACGAGATTGCCGGGTCTGTAAGAGTGTATGATAAGCAGTGTACAAGGGTGCCTTTGCAGTGTTGAATGAGGGGAGCACAGTCTGTGATTTGACTTGCTTGGGTCTTTTTGATATTATATGTTGTACTTACTGAATAAAGCCAGCTGCAAGCTCTTTTTCTTTCCTATCAGAATTTCAGAATTTCCCTAATTTTGTGAGGGATAATTGAGGCTTTGTAGCATGAATGCTTAAGACTCCTTCATATTTCACAGTCAGAAACAAGTGAGACAGTTGTTTATTGGCATTTGATTACAGGAGCATGAGTTCAGTTCTCCCGATTCCCTAATCGCAGATGTGTTTCTTTTTTTTGTTTGTTTGTTTGTTTGTTTGTTTGTTTTTCGAGACAGGGTTTCTCTGTGTAGCCCTGGCTGTCCTGGAACTCACTCTGTAGACCAGGCTGGCCTCAAACTCAGAAATCCTCCTGCCTCTGCCTCCCAAGTGCTGGGATTAAAGGCGTGCGCCACCACTGCCCAGCTGCAGATGTGTTTCTACACTGTGTTTCCACCCTCACCGTGGCTAAATCAAGACTAGAAATACAGACAGATTGAGTTATACACTTGTTTAGGCTCCCAGACCTCCTAGAGCCAGCATCCGTCTAGAGTTACAGATTCAGCAATGAAAAACGGGTATTTTATCTCATGGTCCTACTGAGGATCCTAATAGCACTTTCCTAATCCTCGGCCATCAAAGACGAAAAGTCAGACTTAGGCATCAAACCTTCAGTTTATTTAAATCTAGTCCCAGATAATCAACATCAGAGATGAGGAAAAGTGAAGAAGGGCTGGACAGATGGCTTAGTCGCCAAGACCTAACACTGCTCTTGCAGAGGACAAGGGCGGAAGGATTGGAGTGAGGGAGTGGTGGTGGTTTGATCTACAGCCGGTTGTGCCCGTTCAGCGTTCTCAGACTCTGAAAGACCACCGAGGAGCCGATCCGATGCAATCGAATCAGGGTCTTTTATTTACCGGCTCGATCGAAGGCCGCACCATCATCCCTGGCACCGCAGGACAGGAGGGTGAAGCCCCGAGTCTAATTTTAAGCAGGTATTTATAGAGGCAAGACGCGGGTATCTAGCCTGGCACACATCTGATTGGGGGGCTATTATGGCCTTTAACATAATTGGCTGGTGGTAGGACCCAAGCCATAAACTTAACATTTACTTTTCTTCTGATTGGTAGTTATTAGGAAGTGAAATGCCAGGGTCAGGCTTGTAACCTGGAGGTGCAGATTTGTAAGGGAGTAACCTGGAAACTGGTGCTAGGTGCCAACTTGTTAACTCTAGTTCAACCTTAGGTCAGGTTCTCTAAGATGAAGTCTGAACTCAAGATCTGGGCCCTCACAGTCCTCTTTGTCAAGTGACTACCTATGATTCCAGTTCCAGGGGATCCGATGCCCTTGTCCAGTCTCCATGGGCATGGCATGAATGGGAAAATTCCACATTCACACACACATAACCAAAAAAATTGAAGTTAAAGTCTGTACATGCCTAGAGAGCTAGCTCAGCAAATAGAGCTCTTCTTTCTCTTGCAGAGGACTGATATTCGGTTCCCAGTATGGCAGGTCACAACCATCTATAAGTCCAATTCCAGGGCACCCAATGCCCACTTCTGATCTCTTTGGCACCCAGCATGAATGTGTTGCACATACATACTTGCAGGCAAAACACTCAATACATAAAATAAATAAATCTAAAAAAAAAATGAAGATTTCTGTGGGGCTGGAGAAATGGCTTAGTGGTTAAGAGCTCTGACTCCTCTTCTAGAGGTCCTGAGTTCAATTCCCAGCACCCACATGGTGGCTCACAACCATCTGTAATGGGATCTGATGCTCTCTTCTGGTGTGTCTAAAGAGAGCAACGGTGTAGTCACATACATAAAATAAATAAATCTAAAAAAAAAAAAAAAAAAGGAAAGGAAAAAGATTTCTAACTATCACCTTAAGCTCCCAGAGTCAGAAGTTGCAACTAATTATAAAACATACTAAAGCAAGATAATAATTTAAGGGCCTCAGAGTCTACTCCAAACTGTACACACTTAAACTTGCAAAGGATCTAAGAAAGAAACAATACCTGGCACTTACCTGGTACTTAGCCTGAAATAAATACATGCTCCTTTAATTCCTTTTTTTCCTAATACATGCGTTTATGAAATGAGCACCGTTAATCCCTTCTTCTCTTCTGCTTTTTCATTAATCCTCTTTTAAAGGAGCTTTGTACTTCAGGAACAAAGGGGGAGACATCTACACAAGTTTGAGGCTAATTACACTTAGGGCCTAACCTCCTATGTCTGGTTTGCCTAAGCTGCAGACTGACCGTCAGAGAACCACACTAGGGCTTCATCCTTTGAGAACAAAACAAAAACAAACAAAACGGACAGTCAATCAGCGGAAGAGTCTGCGATCACTTTCTCCCCATTTTTAAACCACCGTTGAACCATGTTACACCCTGATCTTAACCAGAATTCCCAATTCGTATTGTCCCAATATTAATCACCAGCATCAATGACCAATCAGCTCCTCTCAGTGCATCTTGTGGACGTGTGCCGAGAAATAGGGATACTGGAGTTTAGAAAGACTACATGTCGATGTGCAACACGGCTTAGTAGATAAAGGAGCGGGCCTCCAAGCCTGCCCACCGGAGGCGTTTCCTCAGAGACCATTAGGGACGAGAGAGAACATTTTGAGTAAGGAGGAAAGGAGAGAGACTGGTTTTTGATCCCTAAAGGGTCCTATGCGCGCGCGACTGCGCAAAAGAAAGTTGATTCGTTTTAAACTACATCCCCCAAAATGCAATTGCAATTTTCTTAAAGACTACCGTTCCCGACATGCACTGCAGTGGGGGTAAGCGAAGGAAAAGACCTGCAAACTTAACTGGAAAGTTTGCTTCTCAGTTGCCGTGGGTAAAGGAAAGTTTTAAAAAGATCTCGGAGCATTTTCCCCGACCCCAGGAGTGGTCAACTGTTTAAATCCAGTCAATAAAGGGGAGGAGTTAAGCTGAGTCCCTCCCCTTCTCCCGGGAACTTTTATCATTCCAAAGGTGATTCAGGCTAGAGTTTGAACAGCAAGGAGAAGCTGCACGCTCCGAACTTTCCCAATGGTTTCCGTGACCAGAACCGTGTTTGGAGGACTGCCCTCGGGGGGAGGGACAGTGGAGAAGTTCCAGCTTCGGTCAGACCAGCTGAGTGTGGACATCATCTCCTGGGGCTGCACGATCACAGCTCTGCAGGTCAAAGACAGGCAGGGGAAAGCCTCAGACGTGGTGCTTGGCTTTGCCGAGTTGGAAGGTGGGTCGCGTCCTGCCCAGGGCTGCCAAACAGGCCCGCACACACTCCTGATCCTGTGTACACCGGGTTCTTCCAGTCACTCACGGGACCTGGCCGAGGTCCTCAAGCTTGGGGCAAGTCTAACTTGGAAGCGCGTGAACGGGCCATTTACCAGGATTGTGTGGTTGGAAAAAAAATGGATCTAATCCAAATAGCTGTAGGACTTGACCTCCCTTAGACAGTCAGACTTTGTCATTGTTCACGAGGAAGTCATCTGAGAGAGACCAACTCCTTGGAGTGAGCTTAGAACTGTAGGGCACAGGGCGTGTTGTGCGTATTCCTCTTGTGGTTCTCTGAGGAAGGAAAATCAAATACAGACAGACTATCTCCTCTTCTCTTGTCGAATTTTCTCTGAGGCCTCCTTGGGCAGAAATGCCTCAGAATTTAGGCCTGGTGTAAACTCATCAGACTGCTTGGCTGTTGTGGTCAATGTAGGGTACAGTGCCTTCATCTTCTCAGGAACATGATCTCAGTGAAAGGGGTAGAAATAAGGCTTCCTAAGACGTGGACATAGCCATCAGGATCAGCGGGCAATTAGGAGCATATCTTTTTGTTTTTGTTTGTTTGTTTTGTTTTTGTTTTTTTTTGTTTTTATTTTAATAGACAGGGCCTCATGCAGCCCAAGCTGGCCTAGAACTCCCAGTCATCCTGCTTCCTCTTAAGTGTTGGGATTATTGGCAAAAGCTAGACGTTTTATCTTGATCCATGCATGGGTTTTATCTTAATTTATGCATTTACAACTCTGTTAATATAGTGGACTCAATCAACCAGATAGACAAGGGTCACTTTCAACTTGCAGTTTAGCTGGGGATACAGATTTTGTTGTACCCAACAGTTACATAATTAAATCATTAGATTGCAGTTTGATTTTTCAGCAGGAAAAAGTTTTATATTTTGCCATTCCTTAGCATTGCATGTAACTAGACAGAAAGCAAAGTCTGAAGTAAAATGGGCAAACGGAAACAGAATGAATCCATTCTGCTCAGTAATGGGTATAAACAAATTTTGTGCCACAAAAGGTTTGAGGTTTTCCTTGTAGTTCCTCTTTCTACCTAGTTGGTTCTTCATATGTCTAACTTGGCTCTTCATTTGGGGTTAACAGGAAAATGCTATTTTATTTACTTATTTTTTATTTGCCCTTAGGCAATAAATGTGTTTCCCCCATCTTGTCAAAATGCATTATAAGAGCGTATTGCTGAGTTTCCTGTTCTCTTCCTGGCTGGCTGTGTTTATTGTCCTGGAGCCTCCACAAATTGTCCCTGAGGATTATTTTTCCCCCAGCAGAATTTCTTTGGTAACTTAATTGAGAAGGCTGTTATAAGAGACGGGCTGGTGGGAAGGTATGGAGACTTGGAGAAGGTGAGGCCTGGTTCCTCCTTCTGTATTCAGACAGGTGATGGAGGAAGTTTTAGAAACTTCAGTCGCTCCTTGCTGCTAGTCGAGTAGCCCTTTTGTGTGCTGAAATAAAATCTCCAAGAGATTATTACAGTGGAGTGGAGGGAGAAGCTAATATGAAGCTTAGGACTCCAAAGCCAGAGAGAGAATTAGAGGTGGCAGGTGGGTACCTGCTCTTATCATCTGCCTCTGCCTCATCGACATGCAGGGGGCACTACCCACCACCCTACTGAGACATACCAGGCCACTTTAAGTTCAGAGGTACTAGTCCAGGGGACCTGAACTAAGATGTCAACATGTCTTTGAAATCATTATGAAATGTGAGCTGAGGTGACACCCTACCCAGGTGGCACCAGTTTCTTTACAGGCACAGAAGTAATAATTGGGAACCTATTCATTGTAACCTGGAGTTCCTATTGGAGGTGTGGTGAAAGGATTATCCTCACCTATTCACAAAGGCATTAGTTTTCCTTTATTAGAGACCCAGCAGGTCTCTTGTTGAGCTTCCTGGTGCTTGAGAAGGTGCTATGGCAGTGGCTCTCAGCCTGTGAGTCACAACCCCATTGTGGGTCCCATATCAGATAACCTATATGTCAGATATCTACATTACAATTCAATATAGCAGCAAAATTACAGTTATGAAGTAGCAACAAGATAATTTTGTGTTTGAGGGGTTACCACACGTGGGGGATTATGTTAAAGGGCCCTAGTCTCAGGAAGGTTGAGAATTGCTGCCCTATAGCATTTTTTCATTAAGATGCATTACAGCTTCACCAAAAACTTTTAAAATCTTTTTTTTTTTCGAGACAGGGTTTCTCTGTGTAGCCCTGGCTGTCCTGGAACTCACTCTGTAGACCAGGCTAGCCTCGAACTCTCGAACTCAGAAATCCACCTGCCTCTGCCTCCCAAGTGCTGGGATTAAAGGCGTGCGCCACCACCGCCTGGCTGAAATCTTCTTGATGCTGTATGAAGACAGACATTTTCATTCCTGTGCTGTAATTTGAATACTGAAGTATTTTAAAAGGAGAGAAAGCTATTTTCAAAAGAGAAATTGAAAGGAAAACACCTGTAGACTATTAAGCAATGCTTTCTGAGACGTTAGCTGTCTTCAAGATTATGACAGAGGAAACCTTGTTCCCCTTGTAAAGTTCTGTTCCAGGTTTTCATAGACCCTTCGAGCTGTCAAAGGCAGGGGTTGGCACATGTCACAACAGGAAATATAGTGTCTCAACTATGAAAGTATAAAATGGTTCTCTGCTGCTACCTTGGTGGATTTTACTATATTAAACCCCATTTTAGATGCCAGGCTTAAAGGCACACACCTTTAATCCCAGCACTTAGGAGACAGAACAGTCACATCTCTGTAAGTTTTAGGCCAGTCTAGTCAACAAAGCAAGTTCCAGGACAGCTATTGATGTTACATGGAGAAACCCTGTCTCAAAAATAAATAAATAAATAAATAAATAAATAAATAAACCAAACCATTTTAGTGTGAGTCTGGTGGCACCTGATCTATTTTAGCCAAGTTCTAGGACAGCCAGGACTACGTAGAAAGACCCTGATAATAGAACTATGAAAATAGCTCATCTGGTAAAAGTGCTTGCTGCTAAGCCTGACGATCCAATTTGATTCCAGGACCCACATGGTGGAAGGAAGAACAGACTCCTGCAAGTTGTCCTCAGACCTCCATGTGTGCACGTGTAGCACCTGCACACACATACACACACACACACACACACACACACATGTACACACACAGATAAATAAGTAAACAAGTAATTGTGATTTAATTTCTTAAGTTTGAATGTATAAATTTACGTAAACAATCTGAAGAGAAAGAACTTACCTTCTCTCATATTTGCTTTGAGATATGAGGAAGTGCTAATCACAGATAATTCTGTGAAATATGCCCCTTTTGTAACTGCCAGTCTCCCAGATAGACTTTTATGTAAACTACTTGGATGGCAGCCATGACCAGAGATCAGAATGGTTTGACTTCTTTCTGGGAAAATGAGATCTTTCTTCTGTAGAACTCTAAAGGGGAAATTATATATGGTCATTTAGTTATAGCCTGGAAAAAATTAGTGATGTCTCCTGTGGGTTTTTCCTACCCTTTCTTAATATCATCTGTGTGACCCAACAACAGTCATTATGACTTCTTTCAAAACCTTTCATAAGAGGAATTGCTTATAAGCCACAGGTATAAACAGCCTACCCATACATACAATCAACAAGACTCCTTCCCTTTCATTTCCCCCCAGTTACCACCAAATACCCAGCTATTACTGCCATGATTACTGCCGGGAGAGCCATTATGGAAAGAATTAAAAAAAGACAAAAAAAAAAACACCATACCCTTGCCACTTTGAAATCTGGGGATGTAGTTCAATAGTAGAGCACATGACTGGCCATAAACAAACATCGTGAGGTCCAGGCTCTGGGAATGTAGCCCGGTTGGTACTGTGCTTGCCTAACATGCATGTAGCCTTAAAGACTTGAATTCCATCCCTGGTGCGTAAAGCCCAGACATAAAGGTGTTTGCGAGTGGGAGTGGGAAGTAGGAGGGTCAGCAGTCCAAGGTCATCATCAAGGTCAGCCATGAATACCTGAAACCTTGTCTCAAAACAAAACAGAAAAAAAAAAATCTAGGTTTTGAACAGGGAGTGGAGACAAAAGAGTTCTGGTTAAAGCCTGAAGACTGGTATTGCAAATGCCCAAGGGTGCCCTTGCTGGAATGTCGAGAACTCCTAGTTTAAACTCCTAGTTGAGTGTGTGAGTTATTTAATGTCTCCAGACCTGAAGTGTATGTATCTGCCTGTGTGACCCTGTGAACTAAGTCTCTAACTAGAGAATTGTTGCTTGTTTTCACCTTTTCTCCTTCTTTTGCCCCCACATAGTTTCTTTCCCTGTGCTAACAAATTTTTATCTATTTCAGTGTGCTTATCCTGCTAATATGTCATGGAGATAGTATCTGGTATAATTAAAGTGATTGTCAATTCAAGTCATTTTCTTACAGCCCAGGGACTGTGGTTCAATGGATAGAGATTCTGAGAGAACAGGGGGAGTGATTTTCCTTCAGACTTTAGGGCTCTCTGGCAAGGTCTTAGGCCGCCAGATGTCGGCACGGGAGTAGAATGGCTATGTGCCACCGTTAAGCATTTATTAATTTCCGCTGGCTCAGGAACCTGAACGGAGTTGGCTTCTACTCTTTCAACTCAACAGTTCACTAATTAGCATTCATAGCTTGATGTAGGAACTTTGACCTTTGGGTGATAAACAATATTTTCTGCAATTCAAAACCCGTCCATCATGCCCGCTTCAGGTCTGAGCTTGTCACTTTTCCCAGTCCTGGTTTAATGGGAAGGCTTCATGCCACTCAGAACAGTCAGTGTGCTTCTTCTGTGAAAGGTTTTTCAGGGACCATTGGGAATGGTTTTTTCAGTCCCTTTCGGTCCTTTCTCTGTTTAATCTTTAGAAACTATTCATCTAATTTAAAGAACTGCCAAGTGTTTTTCTTTTCCGGGGGGCAAGCAAAGAGGTCCCTAATGAAGAGATTCTTGCAAACCCGTGAACTCCTAGGAGCCTTGCAGTCTCACATGCGTGCAGCTCTCTCCATTGCCTGACACAGCTGGGGAGAGTGGGCGTGCCACGTGCATTTGTTAGATATTTCAAGGTATCTCTGAAAAATAGAGCCAAACAGTTTTCCGACAAAAAAAAAAAAAAAAAAGTTTAGTTTTGTTGTTGTTGCTTGTTTTTTTGTTTTTTTGTTTTTTGTTTTTTTGAGACAGGGCAACATTTTTTCTTTATGTTTTTGAGCTTAACTGGGGCTCAGAAAATGATGCTCCAAAGTGAAGTCCTTAGCTACAGCTTCTGGCCCTCCCCTAGCCTCCTGTCACCCCCTTCATTGTCCTCCACCAACGTAGTACCATAGAAAACAAGGCTTCTTCCTCTCAAGAGTCCAAGAAACCAGAAACTGCTTTTCGAAAAGCCAGCCACAGTATATAGAAAAGCAATTCTCTCTCCTGTCTTTCGGAGTATGTTGGCTAAAAGGAAATTCTCTGATCTTCCTTGACTAACTACAGATCATAAGATCCCTTAGTGAGAACATCAGACCTAGGAGAAGAGAGTCCTTCCCAAAGGGCCCAGCAAGAATCTGACTGACAGGCCCTGGTGGGTCTCCTGTTCAGTCCCTCACTATTGGATTAAACTCACTTATCTGTTGCTCTGTCTCTGTCTCTGTGTCTCTGTCTCTGTGTCTCTCTCCTCTCTCTCTCCTCTCTCTCTCTCTCTCTCTCTCTCTCTCTCTCTCTCTCTCTCTCTCTCTCTCTCT